GTGGCTCACGACTGTCCTCCCAGCAACTTGGGAGGCTGAGGCGGGAGGATTGTGTGTTCAAAGCCAGCCTCAGCAGATTAACGAGGCACCTAGCAATTTGGAAAGACACTGTCTCTAAATTAAAAAAAGGGAGGTGCCCCTGGCTTCAATCTCCAGTACCTCTCCCCAAATTTGAAATAGTGGGAGGTGGAAGAGGGAGGTAGCCAGCTCCATATCTTGTAAAAACTGTTGTCTACACTAAAATATTTAGAACCTGGTGCTGGATATAGTTGCAGGCTCCTGAGATAAAAGCTGTGAACAAAGCATGCAGAAGCCCTTACCCCCACGAGTAAATATTCTTTTTTTTTTTGAGAGGGAGAGAATTTTTTTTAATATTTATTTTTTAGTATTTGGCAGACACAGCATCTTTGTTGGTATGTGGTGCTGAGGATCGAACCCGGGCCGCATGTGTGCCAGGTGAGCCACATTCCCAGCCCACGAGTAAATATTCTAGAACAAAAAGGCAGCAAAAGCACATAAGCAGGTGATGAAGTATGTGGTTAAAAAAAAGATTGGGAGGGATGGGAAGTTGGCAAGGGTGGCTTGCAGAGGCCTCGCTGTGCGTGAAGGGCTGGGGGGAGCGGACTCGGCTGTGAGGAAGAGCCCTCCAGGCAGGAGCGGCTGTGACGGGGCTGTGCTCACAGGTGGATTCTGAGTAGATGTTAAAGGTAACACCAATAGGATTTTGCTGGTGGATTGGATTTGGGTGAGGGAAAGGAGTCGGATAATCACATTGGCATGAGGAGGTGGGGGCCGCTGGGGTGGGGGAAGCCGGGAGAGTCCAGGTCCTGGCTGACTGTGGAACTTTGAAATGGCTGATGGACGTGCAGGCAGGGATGTCCAGCAGGCAGACATCTGAGTGGGAAGAGCGGGCTGTTACTTAAGCACACAGTGGGTATTTCAAGGCCACAGGAGGGATGAGATCACCAGGGAGTGCCTGTAAACAGAGAAGCCTTGGGCGTCCCAGGGGGAGAGGAGGACTGAGCCAGCAGCCCCTGGAGGCTGGCCCCAGGAGGAGAATGAGGAAAGGGCATCCTGGGGCCGTGGAGAAGAGCGCCTTGAGGCGAGAGTGGTGGGTATTGCAGATGCCACAAATGGCTTCTCATCAGACGGCTGAGGGTTGGTCGGGGTCTGTCATTGGAGGGTTTCCCCGAGGGCCTTGGTGGTGTAGTGGTGGGTGCGAGTCCCGAGAATGGGAGGGGGAAATTAGAGACAGTAAATACAGGGAGCTTCTCTTTAAAGGCGAGCTGAGAGGAGGAGTGGGTTCATGAGAGGGATTTATTGTCTTTTAAATGAGAGGTAGTAGAAACAGGTGTGGATCGCTAGATCTCGATTCCATGGAGGCCACCCGTGATGGGGAGAGGGAGCACGCTGGAGTCCGGGCTGGCCTAGAGAGCGGAAGGATTGCCTCCAGGAGTAGCGGTTGGAAGGGGGAGTGCTGGGGTGAAGAGACCGCATCCCAGTAAAGGCAGGAGGCCACCCTCTGTGCAGGGGCAGGGGGTGGATGGGCTATGCCCGTCGGGCCTGCAGTTTCAGTGCCATCTTTCAGTCTGAGATCTGTAAGAAAGGAAATCTTAGAAAATTCCTAAGATCATGAGTTTAAAGTTTCCCGACTGCAGCTCTTCACAGTTGTTAATCAGTACACAGTGCATATAAAAGGAGGCAGAATTTCCCAAATTCCACTGAAGACTTTTTTTTTCCCAGAGTGACTTCAAGAGTAACTTGGTAAAGACGTAACTGGTGACTAGGATTATGGCTCAAGAGAAGAGCACTCCCCTAGCACGCATGAGGCACTGGGTTCGATCCTAAGCACCACATAAAGATAAAGGTATTGTGTCCATCTTCAACTAAAAAATATTAAACAAAAAAGCCTGAAACTTGGTTCATTTCACTTTACCTGGGCTGTACCTGGGCTCTTGTTTGCAAGACCAGGAAGCCCAACTCAAACTAATTTAAGCCCCAGGGAATTTAGTGGCTCACGTGGTGGGCAGAAGTGGGCTGCACCAGGGTTCAAGCACTGATTGGGCCCAGGTGCTCAAATGGCCTCAGTACGGCTGTTCCTCTCCCTGCCTCCTACTAGGCTTTGTTCCTTCTCGAGGCTTCCTCCTTGTGGCAGGCAAGATGGCCCCTGCAATCCCAAAGTTGACATCCTTCCAGTTTAGCCACTTGAAGGAGTAGAGAAGCCATCTCTTCCACCAGCTGTGGCTCAGAAGACCTTGCAGTCCTTTCTGGTTGGCTGGGCTTGTCCTGACCAAGCCTGAGCCGATCACTGTGGCCAAGGAGACAGGTGACTGGCGGAGTGGGGCTTGGGTCCTGTGCTTTGTTCTTGCTCTAGGGAAGGAGAGGGCTGGGATTGACAGTCCTACTTTGACCATGGATTATGTATGTTAATTACATCCAGGCCTAACGGTGGACATTTGGGTTATTTCTTACCAACAGTAAAACTAGATGAGTTTCAAACACTCGTTTGTCTGATGGACAGCACATAATTTGTGGTAAAGAACTCTTTACAAAGGGCACAAAATGAGCCTGGCTGGAAGCCACTGTTAGTTGAGTGATATGGAAAGATGGGAATCTGGTGTGAAGAGAAGGGACCTTCATCAGGAAGGCTTGAGGCGCCTGAGAACACGGGCTCTGGATGCTGGTTCAGTGACACGGCTGAGAACAGGCCAGCAGGTGGTGGGTGGGCGTGGACGCATCCCGCTTGGGAGCCCTTGTCTTCTGTGGGCAGATGAGCCCCCTCTGCTTCCACCTGCTCCCCATAGAGGGAGGCTAGTGCTGCCGTGTGCCTCCTGGGCTGTCTGCTGCGCTGACCCTGTGAAGGGCTCCAGACTCGCATTTCAGTCTGGTCTACACTGACAACTGTGGGCCTCATTGTTGGTTGGTTCGGAAGTTGGGGTCCCCGCCTGGCCTTCTGTGACTCTACTCTCGTGGGGCACGTCAGGGCATCGTGTAGGGGGGAAGTCGGGCTCCCCACTTGACCCTGTGACTGCCTGTGGGTGGGACTGCAGTGCGTGTGTGGGGCTGAGGCTGGGGGGAGCGGCGATGATCCAAGCTTCCCGTCTTCTATTCCTGAGGAGGCCGACTTGTTGGACCTGCTTGTCTGCACCTGTGGGCATCCTGGGCTGCGGGCTGCTTCGGCTCAAGTTTGGATATAGGAGGCAAAAGACCTCTTACCTTTTCCTGGGTTCTGCGCTCCCTAGCCAGTGTGCCTTCTTTCCCCTTTCAAAGTCTCGTGTTTTCTTGACGTATGATTCCAAAGTTGTGCGTTGTGTGAGGACAAATTAATGAAGATGTGTCCATCTTCTTTAATTCTGAAAAATTTGGTATTCATTCTATCAGGTATCAATGAGTACTAAATAGCTGTTGTCGGGCTGCAGGTGTAGTTTTGTGGCAAAGTGATTGCCTAGCATGTGTGGGGCCCTGGGTTTCATCCTCAGCACCACAGAAGAATAAATAAGTGAAATAAAGGTATAAAAAGTAAAACAACATTTAACAGAAGAAACCTACCTATTTTCTAATTTTAAGAGTTACAAATGTTTTTAATCTTTTATTTTTTTGGTACCAGGGGCACTTAACCACTTGAGCCACATCCCCAGCCCTTTATTCTGTTTGACACAAGGCCTCACCAAGTTGCTTAGGGTCTCACTAAG